GTTTCTACCTGTTATGAGATAGCCTAGCCAGAAAAAAATATTGACTGGAAAAAATTCAACAATTGAGCTAATAAAAATAAATAAAATTGCGATCTTTTTCATGCGACTAAAACGCAGCCTTCCCATAACTTTGGAAAAGCACCTAAAGACGTGTTATAAATAATTTATTTTTCTAATTATTGGCCAAAAACAAAATGTGATATTTCACAAAATATTTGAAGCAGTACAAAGACCCAGAGGGTTTAAGCGTACCCACTGGTCGTTTTACATTTAAGAAATACTAGAAAAATATGGCCTATGCCACTTACAAACAACGTTGCCTTTCAATGATGAAAGAACCTTTTAAACCTTCCCAGGAGTCACTAAGCTTATTTGAATTTATATATTACATATTTGTTGTTGTTTTAAAAAAGCCGTTTTTAAATTAGTTTTACATTTTTATGGTTTTTTTAATTACTTGCTCGAGCACGACGTTGTCAAGGTCGTTGAGCAGCTGCGCCAGGAGATATTCCCAGTTGCGCTTGCTATACAAGTTATTGTAAGTTAAGTTAGTAATTTATATTTAGACAAATTAGACAATTTACGTAATTGATTAGGTCTTAGGTTCAATTTTAATAGGGGTGTTATTTATTTAATCGCTAATAGTGTATTACTTTTGTGAATATCTAGAGTTTTACAATAATTAAAGTTTTGTTTCGATTTGTTTGGTATAATAGTTTTTAGTATTTTAAGTTGCGGTATATAAATATATATTATTCATATAGCTAGTATAAGTTATGCCGTAGCTGCTCAACCCATAGCCTATAACAGTGTCAGCCAGAGTACAGCCAGTTGTACAACATCCTCAATATCTTAAATGGCAACTTCTGTCTAAGCAGGGACCGCCTAGATAGAACAGGTCTTAATTTCTTGCAAACATAGTCAATATGTGACTTCCAGTTAAACTTATAGTATATAATGAGACCTAGAAATTTATGTTCTTTAACGACATCAATTTTGTTGCAATATTGTACGCAAGTTTTTGACGATGTAGGCGTTGGAGAGAGTGTGCTGTTATGGATGGCTTGGACGACGAATGAATGTGAGAAGAATGTATGTGCATAAGTTTAGTCTTTTCATAATTTATAACCAAGCCTACATCGTTCGCCCATCTGCATAATAAATCAAAGTTAGACTGGATTTTTTTGTGCGTCCGTCAAACATTTATCTGCTATTATAATACACGTGTTGTCGGCAAATTGGTATACAGAGCACTCGGTTAGTACATTACACATGTCGTTACAATACAATAGGTATTCGGTCGGAACGAGTACCGAACCTTGAGCCGTTCCTTCTTCGGTTGGTATAAACTCACTGAACACGTTATCTATCTTTAATATTTTTTGACTGTTGTGATGATAATATATTTATACTTCTATACTTCATCATATTATAAAGAGGAAATATTTGTATATTTGTATGTATTGAAATAACTCAAAAACTACTGAGCCGATTTTTAAAATTCTTTAATTATTACCAATGTTGAGGAACTATTAATAAACAACATATTTTTGGACCACGGCGTTAAAAAATAACAATGTTAAAATTTTTCTCGGCTTACGCTGCCTTAACCGTTAGAGATATATAAAAATGGTGTATTAAAAAATTGTAGATCTCCAAAAGTTCTACAGGAAAGTCCGCAATGGCATATTTTTGCCTTTAACGGTTTTCTTACAAGAAACACTTTTTTGTTTACAAAATGAATTAAATACCGCACGTTATTGGCGACGTTCTTTTATTGGTTTCAATATTAATCCGTATCCAAATAAATGCGTTTGCTGTCAGAGGAATTTTATGTAGAATAAAATTTTCCTTTGCAGTATTTAAATTGGACTAATAGTTTAGAAGATATCGCGAACACAAACAATAAGGGTAACCGAAAAATCAGCTCACAATCGACCGGCCTCAGAAATTTTGAATTTGGCATCAGTAGATTTGTTATTTCGTAGATGAATACCAAGTTAATCCTTTAGGTGATAGGTTGAAAAAAAGGGGCGAACGTAAGTTTTGAACTCTAAAACTCCACACGGGCAAAGTCGTGGGCAACAGCTAGTTTTTAAATAAATCAAGAAGAGGTCCCTGTATATCACTTTGGTCGGGTTTCTGATATAAAGTAGAAAATTTTAAAGTTTCAAATGCTTTAGTAATATCTATAAATAGTGCAAGTACATGCTTCTGTTTCGTTTAAGTAATGTTTTATGTTGTCTGTGACAATATTAACCTATTTCCTTTAAGCTTTAAGCGAGTCTTCTAGAATCGTGTGACGAAACTATCAAGTACGTTGCTATTATAGTCTAATAAATATAATGTTGAATAAAAAGGAGTTTCAATAAATATTCTACTGACTAAGACCCACGAAACCCAAGCAAGTAACAATTGACTTCATTCGTGAATTTACATAAAAGTTGCATTGTGTTTGTATTTTTTTGAAAACCATATTGCTCTTTCTTTACTATATTGTTATTAATTATATATTTATGTCATTCATTGCCAAAATATTTTTCTATAATTTTATCTATACAAGAGAGAATTGTGATAGGCCTGTAGTTATGAAAAATATTGAAGCGCCTTTTTTGTGTATCAGTCTTATTACACCAATTTTTTTAACTTATTCGGATAACAACTTTTGGTTATGCATAAATTTATAAGATGCAATGCAAAGATGTCACGAGAAAATACATAATATTGTGTTCATGAAAATATTTGCTTGGAAATATAAACGACCAATATTTTATTTAAATTTCATTTTTCCTGGTGCAAATAAGTGGTAATTAATGATTCTATTCATTACATTTTGTTTTAAAGCTAGTTTTGTTATTGTGTTCACAATAAAATACTTCGAGTCGAGAGTGAATTTCTATATAAACTAACGTAGATGAAATGTGTATTGACAACATAGCGTCCCCATATATAAGTCACTTACTGCGACCAATAGAGTTGCGTTTGAGAACTTGGCGAGCGAATTTATAAAAAGACACATTTTAATGATTAAATTTCGCTACTAAATCACATCATGTTTAAAAAAATCTTTAAAAGTATCTTTTTATAGTAATAAAACATACGAAAAAAAGTCACGTCCAAATTGGCGTCATATCCATATTGCCTAGAGTAATGATTTTTGTAAATGCGATGTTTATTCGAGCGAAATCGGTAGGTCGGCAGAATGTATAGCGTTAATTGTAAAATGTTCCATTTCTTTCGTATCACGCCTACTGACCGCTAGAGCGAGAGAGATGGCAGATCGATAGTTTCCGAGTAAGCGAGAGCGGGTGACACTAATAAATCCGAACGTGCACGCGCCGTGGTTCATCAATCAATCAAAACAGCTGAATAACAGTTGTAGCATAAGTTTAATTTTCATACGTAATGTCTTACAAATAGATAACACATTCGAGTGAAGCATGTTGGTGAATAATTTCTCGCAACACTGGGAAACAGTCGTTATTTTGATTAAAAAGTAAAACAAAACAATTCAGTTTGTTTAGTTCGTCGTTGCACTTACGTATAATTTTGAGTACTTTCGACTTAAATTTACTTTTTGTGTTGTTTTGGTGTTTTATATAAAAATTAAGCAACTTTTTTTGTTACTGTGTAAATATAATTAGTGTAGATCGTATAGGTATTAGGTTTGTCTAAATAAGGTGTAAATTTAGGATATAGTGTAGCATATAAAGTATAAAGTAGTATACAGTGTAGAATATAGAGTAGTATATAGTGTAGAATATAGAGTAGTATATAGTGTAGTATATAGTGTAAATATGTCTCGGTTAAATTCTAGTGTTTTATGGGATTTTTTTCAAAAACTAGATAATGAAAAAAAAGCAAAGTGTAACAGTTGTGGTGAAGTTTATAGCTTCAAGACTTCAACTGCGAATTTAAAAACACATTTAAAGCGAAAACACCTACATGCATATACAGCTATTTGTACCGCGCAATCTACGGTAAGGACACCTAAACAATTTCGTCGACAGGAACCACCGAGCGATGTCCAACCTCAGCTCTCGATATCCAGCTCCGATGCTGCATCAGGCTCTACAAACGACTCTACGTCCAATGCTACAAATACCATACCCACTTACCACGCTACGCAACAGCGCATTGATAACTACGGAATTAGCAAAAAAGTAACAGTAACTAAAAAAAGACAAATTGATAATGATCTTGCCGACCTTTTTATAGATAGCTATCACCCTTTTTCTTTAGTAGAAGAGCGTGCTTTCAAAAAATTTGCCCGACACATACCTGGATACGAGTTACCATCACGAAAAACTGTCTCTAACGTTCTAATTCCCACATTATACGACCAAACAGTTCTAAAAAAAAAAGAAGAAATAAATGACATTGAATATCTAGCATTAACTACTGATTTATGGACGTCTCGAGTTAATGATGCTTACATTGCCGTCACGGGGCACTATATAACAAAAGATTTCGTACATAAAACATTTTTATTAAAATGTGCAGAATTTAAAGACATTCACAGCAGTGCGAATATTCAAACTGCATTGCTCGAATCCACCAACGAGTGGAAGGTAACAAATAAAATAAATTTTATTGTTAGTGATAACGCAGCTAATGTGAAAAAAGCCATTATTGACATAGGGTGGAAGCATTACGGATGCTACGGCCACACATTGAACCTAATAGTTCAAGATGCCTTAAAACTAGTCCAAGCGTCTTTGGACAAAGTTAAAACTATAGTCCGTCACTTTAAAACTAGCACAGTAGCATCAGAGAAATTATTAAAAGTACAGTCACAAGAGAATCCGGAGTTGACACCAAAGCGCTTGATACAAGAAGTACCAACACGGTGGAATTCCACATTTTCCATGTTACAGCGATTTGTGGAACTAGAAAACCAAATATGTGCCACTGTTGCAATACTTAAAAAAGATTTGCCCATATTAACTGTCGAAGAATGGAGAATGTTTAATGAACTGTGCACAGTTTTGAAACCATTTGACGAAGCTACGAAAGCAATGAGTGGTGAAAATTATATGACAGCCAGTACCATCATAGTCATGACACGCTGTCTTAAAGAATCTTGTGTCCAGCTGCTCCTGCAAGGCTTCACTGCTATAACAAATAACGTAATTACAGCACTTCGAACAGGCTTGGATAAAAGATTTGAAGGTATTGAGAAAAGTGGCACGTTCTCGATATGTACAATTTTAGATCCAAGATACAAATTGAATGTATTTTCTGACACAAATGACGCGGCAAAAGCCAAAAAAACGCTGGAAGAGATACTTGCGGATGAAATTAGACGGCGGCGATATGGAGAAAATCAAACGCAGCAATCTACTTCAACCTCAGCTTCCATACCAGTTCGAGATAAATTTTCACCTTGGTCTATTTTAAGCAATATTGTCGGAACGCAGCAGCAGCAAGTAGGCACACCTTTGTCGTGTGCCATAAAGGAAGTAGACTCCTATTTAAAAGATAATATTCTAGCTATGTTTAACGACAATGGGAAATTTAATTGTCCATTGCTGTGGTGGCAACTTAATCGCCATATTTATCCCAACCTTGCTATACTTCTACCCAAGTATGGCAACATAATGGCAACTTCAGTTCCGTGCGAGAGGATATTCAGCAAAACAGGACTCACAATAAATAACCGCCGCACACAATTGAAGACACACAAAGTTGCCCAATTGACATATTTAAATGTTAACTTAGACCCGAAAAGATTTTTCCGAAAATAGCCGAACAAACAAAATAACTGTACAGTGTAAATAAAAGTGCAAAAACAAATGACAGAGAAAAAGTTTAAATAAACATGTAATTAAAAGTGTAAAAAGCTGTAAATATTAATCATCATTGTATATACAATCAAATTAACTTTTAAGTACGCCTGCATTAATAATTTTATAAAAGTCATAGTTTCATAGTAAATACTAATCTATACTAATATTATCAAAAATAAATACACTTAAATTTTTAATGCAGTCAGTCCTAAGCCTGAATAAAGTATGAAGGAAAGTTAATTTATTGACTCAACTGTATAGCTTTAAACACAAAACAGTGATGGGATATATTAGACAGTTTCGGACCAGGGAGAGTCCACTTAAGACAAAAAAACATTTTTTGCAGCTTTTACGGAAATTAATTGAAAGTAAACCACTGTAACATATTCTCCAACTAATATTCTAGCATTTGACGTCTAAATTATTAGTATAAAATATTAACTCATAGGGCCACGGCTGAACTTAATGCAACAGGCGCGAAGCTGAGTAAAAATTGTTAATTTCTTATCGCTTTCGTTAAGGACAGCTTTTTAAAATCTTGAAATTTGTTTACTTATTCAATTTTCATGTGCTTTTTATCAATAGTTATGACAGAATAAATGTTCTAGCAGCTATTCATGTGGATATTACGTAAAGTCTAAAATATAGTGGACCACTACTGTGTTGTATTCAAACACAGTTATAGCCATATCACTTTACAGTTATGGTCATTTCGAGGTATAGTTTCAGTACACCCAAAATGTGTACTTTTCCTGTTTCTTAATTGAAAAAGTAATTTATTTTATGAAATTTTAAAAACAAAAATATCGACTCAAATATTAATACATAGTTTGTTGAACATTCGTTGCTTTGTTACTTAAAAATTTTAGTCTTTTGTTTGTACACCAAAAGGAAGGAAAATAAAACGCGTTTTTTAGTAAGATAGTCTTATAGTTAGTAATCGTACGAACATAATCAAAAATTAAAATAAGCAAGGCATCAGACAAAAAGTTTAATTATTCAAAAAGGCAATACAAATGACAAATTGAAATTATTTTATATCTATTACAGAGGGTTTATTTTAATAGGCTATTATTTTTGCAATGGAAATAACTAGTTACAAAAATCACTAGTTTTGAAACATGTGACGCCGAACAAATCACTAGTTTCGTTACGTTTCTCGCAAATGACGTAACGACTCACGCCTAGCGGAGACCTATGATCTTGTATGCGTCATAACAATATGGCCGAAAATTGTCAGACGCATGCGCTCTCCTACCAATTTTTCTTATCATTTATTTTGACAACGGGAAGTACAAAAGTCAAAATCTTGCATGACATTTATCACAGAGTATTACGAATGTTTGTTGTTTGTTTTACGAAATGTTTTACGAAAATCAGTCTGGGAAATGAGGTTAATTTTAAGCATGTAATTCTACGTCAACATTTATTATTATCTAATGGGGGAGGAACCTAAGACTGATTATGATTGAAAATTAAATGGATAATAAAACATTTGAAAAATGGTGGTTTGTTTTCCAATTAGTTTGTATTGATTTTTTTCTTTTAATAAATCTGCGTGAAGAATATTTATTATATACGCATTTATTGTGTTTTTCGTCATATACTAATCTTAAATTCTTTTGCAAAGTAAAATTTTACATTTATTACCTAATAACTTATTTCATTAATTACTATAGACAATATATTAATCCTTTAAAATAAAATAAAAGGAATGTTAATGACAGAACAAAACCACCCATTAACACCACCACCACCATTTACTCTTTGCAGGAAACAGGAAACTGCACGAGCTGTTTTAGTTTTTACTTCAAAATGTCAATGTCAAAAATTTGTTATCGTAATGTCAGTGAATTTAAAAACAAAAACAAACCAATCAATCGAAATAATCAAAATCTACAAACATAAAAATGTCGCGAAAAAATTTCTTTGATAATAACTTTGAAAATGATGTCGGGCACATGCTTCTTAATGATACTTCTACAGGGGTTGGTAATTGGTATATCTTTTGCTATAACAATAAATTTATATTTGTAATCAACATAATATCCGCCTTAGCTTTCTTGATTAGAGAATTCGTATAGCTGGTATTCTATAAGCATGAATTGCGTAAAATGGGAGAAGGGCACGTATCATGGGTATCTCATTAGGTACCAATGTGTTTTCCGATTTTCGAATTTCATATGTACATTTACCCAACATTCTTACGGTAAAGGAAAACATTGTATTGCAACCCGCACATAATTGTGAAGAAATTCAAAGTTATGTGTGAATTCAACCAATCTGCATTGGACCATTGTGGTTAAATATGGCCTGTTCAACCCATAGCTAAGTGTAGGCTCTGAGCCCCTTGCTGGGGAAGTATAGGAGTTGATAATGATGGTCTTACATAAAGTGTGATCTATTATGTAGTAAAAATACTAAGTTTGCATCCTTTATAATGATTTATTTATAAGTTGGTAATGTTCCAACCAAAACTATTGACAGTTTAACATCTCATCTTTAGATCTCCAAAATCTTTCAAAACAAATTAAACGACTATATGGAGAAGAAGCTACATATGTTAACAACAAAAATGCAAAGTGAAATATTTAACAATGGCACGGTATACACAGGGTCAGCTGGTTTAGCTCTGTTCTATTTAATGCATTACTTGAAACACACAAGAGCAGATGATAACTACTTGAAGGTAATTGTTATATGTTAACACAGAAGTTACTTTTTGAGTTTTTGACTCTTTCTCAGTCTTATTAAATGCTCAACTAATGTTTTTCTATCTTTTTAATAGGTTTTTTCAATTTAATATTAAAGAAACTTTTTTTATATAGACTTCTATGGAAATATTTGTATAGATATAATACAACTATTTCATTCTATTTTTTAGTTGGCCTTGCAATATTTAGATTTAAGAAGTTTAAAAGGTCATCGTATTAGTTTTCTTTGCGGAGACGCGGGCCCACTTGCAATTGCGACAATAATTTCCTATAAAATGGGAAACAATCGTCCAAAGAGTTTACCAGATCATAATACATTAGTTCAAAGGTATGCTGCTAACATTTACATATAAGTTGAGTATTTTTCATTTACTAGCTGTTCCTGTGCAGCTTTTTTTGCATGACATTATAAAAACTTTATTTTAATGTTTACATTTGTAAAATGTTAAAATCACAATTACCATAATATCCTTGCTTCTTTAATGTTGGCAACTTGTAGTTTATGGTCCCATTCCCATATGAAGGTAATTTTTACAATTAATTTATTCCCTAAGTTTAAAAGAGTGAAAATATATAGCCTAAAGTTTGTAAGTGTAGGGCTTTTTATTAAAGAAGGAATTATCCAAAAATATGTTGTAAATGCTGACATCCTATGCCACAAAATAGAGTGTTTATCCTTTATTATATTATTATAAATATAGTTAGCCTTATAAAGTTTGAGTTAGCTTAACTTAACATAACAAGTATGATGTGCAGGGTTGGTTAATAATTGGGGTAACTTAGATCTGCTTACTATTTGCCTGTTCCAACATGTGCTCACAGTTACAAACCCCCATACAGTTCTCTTAAGTTGCTTTTTCCATTACATAGTAATTTAATTTCTTCCTTTTAGGTTACTAGATCTTATTTCACTTTTAAAAGAATCACCCGATGAACTTCTGTATGGTGCCGCTGGATATTTATATGCCCTGCTGTTTGTAAAAGAGTATGTCCGTGAGCCTGATGTTATACCATCAAAACATATAGAAAAGGTAATCATAAACAGGCAAAGTATTTTTTTTATTACATTTAAATTCAGAGGTAAAGTATGTTCAAATAATAAGCTGACATTAAACCCTTTATAGGAATGTTTAATAAATGTTTTGTGACTAAAGTTTTGATGGTGATTCTTAATAAACATGTTCTTGTTCTATGTTAATAGGTGATTGTTAATATATTAAAATCTGGAAGATCGTTTTCGGCACAGATGAAGTCGGAAAGCCCGCTATTGTGGCAATGGCACGATAAGATTTACCTTGGTGCAGCGCATGGTGTTGCTGGTATATTATATCTTTTATTGCAAGTAAGTATAATTGCCAATATTTGTTTTAAAAATTATTTGAGTATTTGTCACTAATTGATCGGGAGTATCACCTGTTTGTGATTTGCCTTGTGTTTACACACAATAATGTGTAGATTATATCGTGAATAAATATTCTTTATTGTATTGAAAATACAAATACTTTGTAAATGAATTTGTTTGATATGCAATTTGCCGACTTTTTTAATTATTCTAGACTAATTTGAAATATGTTATTAAATAGGGTCGCTCTTATGTAAACCATCAAGACATGCGGACATTAGTGAAGCCTACACTGGATTGGTTGGCGCGTCAGAAATATGCAAGTGGAAATTTCCCCTCATCTTTAGGAAGTAGTTCTGGAGACAAGTTGGTGCAGTGGTGTCATGGTGCTCCAGGTTTTGTTGCCTTGTTCGTTCTAGCTTATCAGGTAAACCTTTATATTGTATGTTAATGTTAAATACAGAAGTCTTTGCTAATTTGATGGCCTATTGTTACAGATTTTTGAAGACAACAATTATTTTAAAACAGCTCTTCAGTGCGGCGAAGTTATTTGGCAGCGTGGTCTGTGCACTAAAGGTTACAGCCTCTGCCACGGCGTCAGTGGAAACGCGTACTCTTTCTTATATTTGTATCAAACTACCAAAGTAAGTTTCTTGATTTAATGTATATAACAGAGATATCACCATCTTCCTGTCCTTGTCCTACTCCCAAGAGTACGGCGCAACAGGTGTCTTTCTTCCGATATTCTGTTGTCACTCCTTTCTTGATCATGTCACCATTCAATCTCCATTTTCTAAGTCTACCTCCCTTTTTGTAACATACGATTCTTCCCTTCTTTTACTAACATTTCTCTACCACTGGTGCTATAATCTGACTTTCCCTTATCCAGTACTGTTACCCTACACATCAATCGTAACTGAATATGAGATATTACTGATAATTTTCTTGTATAAATGTGTTGTCTTACATATGTTTGCAGGATCCTATTCATTTATACCGTGCGTGCTGCTTCATGGAGTGGTGCGCGGTGGAGATGCCGGACACGGAGCAGCACGCGCCGGACAGACCCGCCTCCTTGTTTGAGGGTCTGCTAGGACGACTCTACTTAGCTGCTGACATCACATCTCCGGAAGACGCCACGTTTCCCGCTTTTTCATTGTAGAACCCCATTTAAAATGTTATACAAAGTATTGTGATCTATTTTTAATTTATTGCATTTTAAAAATAAATGTTAATGCTTCGTTTTTTCATCTACTCAACTTTTGAAAATGTTTGAAATTTTATTTTACAATAAAATACAAAAAATATAAAAG